ATGTCCAGGTATAATACATCTTTAATAATATTGTATTGAAAGCTATTTCATTAGAAGATCATTGCTAGGCTACAAGTATATTTTAGAACGACGATATAAGTCTTGTTATAGCATGCACTGACACTTAATTTTCTAAATATATCTCAGATAGTACGTTGAAATAATACAAGCTATATCTGATAGAAACAATTTATATAATTTATCAGATTAGTATTTCTGAGACACTACACTCTAAAAGAAATCGGTTTTCTACCGAACCTTAACAGTTCCGCATTTCTGCACGGAACGATTTTAAGTTCCGTGGGGCACAAATCGTTTCGTGGTTTGCTTCCAGAACTATTTTAAGTTCAGCAGATTTCATAGGGTTTCGGAATTCAGCTACGGAACTCGTTGTAGGTTCCGTAAAGTTCTTTGTGGTTTCGTAGATCGTGTACCAATCCTCTGATAGTTCCGTAAAATGGCAGAAGGTTTCGTAATATGCCGACAGAACCGTTGATGGTTTCGTAAACTGTAGAAGGGTTTTGAATATTTTGTACAGAACGGTTGATGGTTTCGTTAAAGGTCCGATGGTTTTGCATTATTTGTGCGGAACTTTTTGACACTTTTTAGTCGGCATCAAAGTTTCGTATATTTTATACGAAACGACTGATGGATCCGTAAACTGTAGAAAGGTTTAGTATATTTTATATCAAACGACTGATGGTTTCGTAAACAGTAGAACGGTTTGGAATATTTCATACGAAACGACTGAGGGCTTTGTAAACTATCAAAAGGTTTGGAATATTTTATACAGAACGGCTGATGGTTTCGTTAAAGATCCGATGGTTTTGCATTATTTGTGCGGAACTTTTTGCTACTTTCTAATCTGATGTAAGGTTTAGTATATTTTATAGCAAACCATTGATGGTTTCGTAAACTGTAGAAAGGTTTGGTATATTTTGTCCGAAACGACTGACAGTTTTTTAGAGGTTACAAAGGTTTTTTTATCGTTTGTGCGAAACTTCTCGACACTTTTCAATCTGCTTTAAGGTTTGGCATAATTCATACCAAACCGTTGATGGTTTAGTAAACTGTAAAAAGGTTTGGAAAATTTTCTACGAAGCGAGGGATAGTTTCGCAGATTATCTGAAGGTTTTGTAGTTTTTTTAATAAAAATCTGCATTGTTTCATTAATAGTAATACGTTTTGTATACTACGTACGAAAGTTTATGTGCTTCTGAGCATTATGGAGAGTTTTTTCTGCTTTCTCCTAATCGCGACGACCTAAGTATTACCTTCGACATGGTCTTATTTAAGAATATGTATTTACAGAGCTATAAAGGTCGCTGCAAAGTCTAACACTAACATTCGCAAGGATGAAAGAGGGGTCGCTGAGAAACGGGTGCGCATATGCATACTTCTCAACAACAAATCACAGTGAGCAATCAAACCATGAGAGAATTCGAAAAATGATACAGAAAACACGAAGGTTACTTAGGAAATCGATAAATAGTTAACATAATCTAGAGAGCTGCGTGACCAAAATGTTCAGTAGGCAAAGAAATAAAAAAATACATGTTAGCAATCGCTAGGCGAACTTTTTTTTTCTCAGGCTTGAGGGTGTGGGTGTGGGTGCGGGTAGGGATGTGCGGTGTCAGATTACTGAACACCGACTGGCACTGACAGCGATACTCAGTGCACACCGATAGACTTAGTGTCACTGAGCACTGAAATATCAAACACACTGACACTGACGCCACTGAAGCACCGATGACCAGTGCATCACGGATCACTGATGCACTGACATCCTCGGCGTCACTGGTGAATCAGGCACACTGACTCCNAAAAAAGGTTCAGTAGATGACAAAAAGCTTGCAAATGTGCTCAAAGTTTCAAAGAGAGAATAAAAAAATCCACGGAACCTTTAAAGGATCTTCCCCTGGACACACGGGAAGAACCTTTTTTCTTCGAAACCTTTTTAAGTTCCGTAGAGCAAAAAATAGGTTTCGTAGGAAAATACGGAACCTTTAGGGTTTCGCAATAAATATAATGGTTTTATACGAAACCCAGTGCGAAACCTTGAGGTTTAATACAAAACCCTAAAGGTTCCGTATTTTCCTACGAAACCTATTTTTTGCTCTACGGAACTTAAAAAGGTTTCGAAGAAAAAAGGTTCTTCCCGTGTGTCCAGGGGAAGATCCTTTAAAGGTTCTGTGGATTTTTTTATTCTCTCTTTGAAACTTTGAGCACTTTTGCAAGCTTTTTGTCATCTACTGAACCTTTTTTTAAGGTTCGGTAAAGTACCTTTTTTTTTTACAGTGTACTCTATCGCATATCTCGTAAGCAGAGGTTACATTACGAAAGCAGTTTCTTATTTTGGTTTTGAGCCATTTAGTTTTAATGCTGATTGATATTACTTTATTTAGACACTTGGCTTTATTGAATGGATAAATTATCAAGTTCAAAAGTAGTTGCTTGGCTTCAGACATTCATTATTGATGAGTCAATTATACGTTATTTTCCTGGTAAGGTTTGCTTTCTGTCATTTGTATTACTGCGCTGCATGTTGTAATCATATTGCGCTGGTGATGATTGAAAAAAATGAATGTTGCTATTGATAAGGCAACCTGTGTTTGTTGTTGTTTTTGCAGTATGGCAAGCGTGAGATGCTCTCTTTTCAAAATTGACACTGACTATGAGGGGAAATTCGATTTTCATGCATGCGTTAGAAATTTCGAAACTGAACATCGAACAGAGTTTCATGGTAAACTTAAATTTCGCTAAAGGTATATTTTGTATTATTTCAAAAGAAGTAGCCTGTTTTGTGATGGTTGTAATATAAATTAAAGTGTCGCGGTAACAAAAGAATTGAAAAATGCTAATTTGGCAATGTAGAACGTTGGTTCGTTATCAAATACGTTCGAAATCATAGGTTACTATATTTTTGTTGTTCAGGAAGAATATTGTTCAATATTTGAAGCTTTATTTTTTAGTTTAGTAGCATTATTTAATTATCTCATATGAACGTTGAAGCATTTTTGGTCTTTGCGTCATCAAAATGTCTCAGCAACATTATTTTTTTCCACTGTGCATTTCCTCAAGCGTTTTCCACAATTGTCCCACTTTATTTATACATATTCGCAATGAACATCGTGAAGAATCGACTTTCAATACTCCGTGTGAATTAGACGTATCGTGCGGATCTCGCTATTCATCTTTTGACAGTTACCGTCGCCATATCTACCGATGTCATCGTCCTCTAATCGATTCATTTGATAATAATGATACTCCTTCATCGAATATTGATCATATTATCGATGATCTTGAGAATTTATTTTCTCATCCTACTTTTACGAATCAATCGGATTTTATTAATGATCCTGAATCATGCATCTATCCCAATGAAGAACTTGATGATACAGATCGTGAATTTCTTAATTTCGATTCCACTATCTTATCTATTGCTAATGAACAACTTAATTTTAGCAAACTTGCGCAATTTTACACTCGTTTTCTTCTCGAGCTTCGTGAATATCATATTCTCCCTCAAAAAGTCGTGCAGTCTATTTCATCTAAAATGTGTTCTTTATTTGACATAATTATAAAATTAATTAAAATAAAAGTGTCATCATCTTTCATGTCTATTATCGATATGGAAGCAATATTTACACACGTCAGCTTTATTATCAATTCTGTTAGTAAGAGTGAATATAACTTTTTAAAACAATGTAAAAATTATTTCGACTATCAAGCACGAACTGAAATCGAATTAACTACAAATGAAGAACGTGCTTATTATATTCCATTGAAGCAGAGCCTGTATTGTATGCTTCAGAATGGTCAATTACTACAGGCGACAATTGATAATATTAATTCTTTATAAAATCGTGCAGCTAAAGACGACGATCTAATCTTATCCAATCGACAAAGTCGTTCAGTTAAATGAAATCTTTCTCGACAAACAAATTCTAATTCTTTATTATTAAAATTATATACAGATGGTATTGGTATTACTAATACAATAGGAGCTAAGAAAGATTCACACAAGTTTACTTGTTTTTACTATTTGTTGGATGATTTACCTGATATCGTTCGATCACATGTTAATTCAATAGGTTTACATTATATATGTTATACAAAACATTTGAACAATGAAAGTAATAGGTCAATATTAATGAAGATACTTGTGAAAGATCTTAATAAGCTTCAAACTGAAGGCATCACAATTCCTTGTCTTTCCAGTAGAATTTATTTCGTTTTCTCTACTTTATCTGGTGATAATTTAGCGTCCAACGAAGTTGGAGGCTTTCAGAAAAGCTTTAGCTCTAGGAGCTTCTGTCGTCATTGTTTCGTTACTTATGAACAAAGGCATATCCCATTAACTGATATATCATTTTGTACCACGAACTCGCATAAAGCACGACATGATTGTCAATAAAATTATCGCCAATAATGATGGTCAGATTATTCAAGGTGTTAAAATTGAAAGTTGGTTGAAAGATCTTATTGGCTTTCATGCTACCGAATCATTTCCACGAGACGTGATGCATGATATCGCTGAAGGTAATACTATGAATTGGTTAATAGTTACAGATACAAAAAATTATTTTTTTTTTAATTGAGGTGTGTGCCCGTTCATCATAAGTGCTCTCTTAAAAGAAGTTATTCAACAACGCCTTTTGACTTATTCAGATATTGAACAACGCACATCATGTTTCATCTATGGATTCTATGATTCATCATATAAACCACCACCTGTAAAAAAGCAACGATATTATTGGTGATCTTACTCTATTTCCATTATACACTATTTTACGTGAAATTATAAGCTACATATATGCCAATCCACTTAGAAAATCATGGTTATCGTACTTAAATGGTTTATGTAAACAATTTCATTGTCTTATGATCGAACATTTACCTGATTATGTAACACTAAAAGCACATTTTTCAATGGAGTATACTCGTTCCATTGAAATGT